AGCAAAACTGGGACATGCGCCTGGGATTAGAGCATTTCCCGGGGGATTAAAGTTCATAGCACTCGGGTGGGCCGTGGTGAGAGTGGAGGGGGAACCGTCTGGAGAGCGCCGCCGTGGCGTCGGATTGCAGGTACGTCCGGTGCGGTCGGCTGCGGTCGGCTAGCGGCGTGATGAAGATCCTTGTGCGCTGTGTGTAGATACGCTCACAGGAATGGAGCCTCGGGGCTCCACTGAGCTTCCACTCATGCCTGGGTTTGAACTTTTCTCCACTTAATTTACTCCTGTAATAAGTTCAGGTCACTGACCCACGTTAAAGAGTGACTGAGTTTTTTCCACTCTCAGCTCCAATGGCGGTCATTAAAGTCAAGGACATGTCATTCCTGGGCGGTATCCTTTCCGTTTGGTTGGCGAGGGGCCTATTCTGTCAGAACTCTGCATGCGTGAAATGTTGCATTTGGGCCATCATGCGCAAAAGCCGGCCTGGAAACCATTTTTGAAGGCATCGTAGTAGAAAATGCTGGAAAATTAATTACAGTAAGCCAATTGTTCCCCCGTTTGCATCACTTCAGTAGGCAAATTAAACTTAAATTGTAATAACTAAGTGTTTTAGGTTGATCTTTATATTACATTCTGAGTTTTCTGATAGCATTTAATTTTTTTATCTGCTTTTACAGAGAGAATGAGAAGTATCAGAATGCCAAAAACCCAATGTTAAAAGCTTTTCCTTTTAATTTAATTGAATGTATTTTTATTTAGTGCCTTGCACAATATTGTTGCCACAAAGCTCTTCATAAGTGTGTAGATATACATTTCATAGGTCAAACATCACTGACAGAAGAACCATGTACCCTTTTTAAATGGTTTTGTAAAATGTTCAGTCATGTGAATTACAAGCGATTTTATCTTGGCATCTCACTTTCCTCCTCCCACAGTTTAAAGATGTTCCAGTCCCTTCAGAAGCGGCTCCAGAACCGACTGGTGGATCGCCAGACCCAGAAGAAGCGCCTCGTGACGAAGGACGGCCACTGCAATATCGAGGTGGGAAACGTAGAATACCACAAGCGTTTTATCCTCCTGGTGGACTTCTGGACCACGGTCGTGGAGATCCGGTGGCGCTACGTCATCTTCAACTACGTCATCTCCTTCACCGGCACCTGGTTCGGCTTTGCCCTGATCTGGTACTGGATCGGCAAGAACAACGGGGACCTGTTGCAGCAGAATCCACCACTGAATCACACGCCTTGCGTACGCAACGTATACGGACTCACCACGGCTTTTCTGTATTCGTTAGAAACCCAGACCACCATCGGGTACGGGAGCCGGTACATCACAGGCGTCTGCCCCAGCTCCGTGGCCCTCATCATCATACAGACCCTCATGGGCACCATGCTCAACTGCTTCATGTGTAGCATCATCCTGGCCAAGATGTCAATGCCCAAGAAGAGGGCGAAGAGCATCACCTTCAGCAAGATGGCTGTTATCTGTCTGAAGAATGGCAGCCTGTGCCTCCTCATCCGAGTGGCCAACTTGCGCAAGACCTTGCTGATTGGAAGCCAGATCTATGGCAAACTGCTGAGGACAACTGTCACATCGGATGGGGAAACCGTCATTCTGGACCAGACCAACATCAACTTTGTGGTGGATGCTGGCAAGGACAACCTGTTCTTCGTCTGCCCCTTGACGCTGTACCACATCATTGACAACACCAGTCCCTTCTTCGAGATGGCCATGGACACCTTGCACCAGCAGGAGTTTGAGTTAGTGGTCTTCCTGGATGGTGTGGCAGAGTCCACCAGCACCTCTTGCCAGGTGAGGACCTCCTACATCCCACATGAGATCAAGTGGGGCTACAGTTTCTTGCCTGTAATTTCCCGGACCAAGGAAGGCAAGTATTGCGTGGACTTCTCCAATTTTGCCAAGATTGTGCCAGTGACCACCCCTCACTGTGCCCAGTGTTTCCACAACGAGAAGGCACACAACCACCAATACACCAAGTCAGGCATCGACAACCCTGCCTTTGAGGTGATAGATATCCATGATCCATTGGACTTCACCAAAATGTGAGTCAGGTGGGTGCTGAGCCTTGGCCCAGTTTTTCTGTACTCATGTATGGGAGCATAAAGCCTTATGGACAAACCAAAGCATCTCTGGCTATTGCAGGAGAGCCTCAAAGGAAGTGGTGACCACAAGTCTCCAAAGGCTTCAACCACTGGGTGGTGCCACCTGGATTCTCTGGGCAGGAGCACTGTAATGGGATGGAGGGAGGGAGTTAGGATGATTCCAAGAGCCTCTGAGAGACAGGGGCTCTGAACATTTTTGGAACATAATGGGATTGATCTGGGTTGGGGGTCCAGTGTGATTTGTTTCGATGAGGCTCTGAATCTCTAGCAGCACTCCTGCCTCTGGACATGTGACGAATGAAGTCACCCGACTGTAAAACTTAAGTTGAATGGGGGCAGGATCAAAATAGCAAATGCTTGTGTTTGATGACATCATCTGTCAAGGATTCAAGCTCGGTTTAGATGCGGAAGTATCAGGACACCTGTCAAGATGGAGAACAAACCTGCTGCTCTTCACACTTTAGAGAGATGTCCTGTAGAACACTTTTACACACACAAAAAGACTATGTAGAAATGTAGCGGTAATACTGCCACCATTCATGACTGTAAAGTTACAGAAAAAAGGAATATGCAGCTATGTAAGACAATTTGTTGATTTGTTTTGGAAAATTCTCTCAGTACCTTAAACTCACGTCCTAACACTGCAATAGCTAAGGAGCCATTATTCCTGTGTTTTTCATGAGAAGGAGACTGTATTACGGGTCCACAAGAGGGGATTACGATCTAAGTCGATTTTAATTAAATATTTAACTGTCTGCAGGAATAACAGAATTTGTGTGTGTCTGTGTGTGTGTGTGTGTGTGTGTGTTTGTTTCTTTTATAGCCTCTGAAATAACACAGCTCATGTAAAGTCTGAGTATGTATTTTGTTAACTTGAGCACAGGAAGTCAAGATCTCTGCAAAGCAGGAAGTAGTTTTATATTTTCTCAGGGGAAGAAATGACTGAAATAATGTCAGGCCACAATAAAGATATTTGTCACACATCCTCTCATTTCTTGTGTATTTCATTCATAATTATTCTACCTTCTGCCTCTTAAAAGTTCTTGAAATATAAAATTTTGAGTAAGAAACAAAACAACCTTCCGACTGTGGAATTTTTAAAGATTGATTCTCAAGCTAATTAATGTTATTGTTTTTGTCAGCTTGTAGTCAGACACCAAATAACCCAGTAAAATCCAGAAAAATCACATTTCAGTGTATCAGATGCATTTTTGACAGCTGAACTGGTTTATTATTTTACTTTACTAGTAGACCTGCTAGATAATGCTAACCAGACACCACCCATGTCTAGATAAGAAGGTAATCTACTTTCTGTTGGAGATATTGCTACAAGAAACATATTCATATGTGTAAACAATATAAAAACATTTATTTTCTTATTTCTTCCGTATAAGAACTCTTTTGCAAAAGAAATGAATCACATGAATAATGACATTATTTACAAATATTTCATATTCAACGTACATTGCATATGTAAAATAACACTACCTGCTTAGTTTTGCCTTAAGCCAAACGGGACCAAAAGCTCATTAGTGTCATCTGAACTGGAATGGCCCGGAATGTGCTGGATGTTCAACTCAATTCAGGCACGTTTAACTGAGTGTGACTTTTGCTCTGGATGATGACTTTGGCTGACTGGTGACAGGGACAAAGAGTCCAGGTGTTTTTTGTGCTGGGTGGGTTTATTTAGTAAGTTGTAGCAAGCGGCCACAACCAATTTGTTTGGAATAACACAGTAAACTGGCATTTGGGATTAAATATTTATCTGTTGTAGTAAGGCACTGGGAATGACCTGTATTTACGGTACGGCTCAAATGTACAAATTTGAAACAAAATAGAGATGTACATATATACCTCAAAGACGAGTTTCAAAAATATCTGCATTTATAAGCGAGGTCAACTCGCATTAATTCTCCTGACCGTTTAATACTGCGTCAAATATGAAAATAGCTCTGCATAACTTATGTAGCTGGTTGATTTAACAACTAGCTAATGTCTGAGATTGAAGAAGCAGGTCTGGCGAATGCACAGCATTCGTGAATCGATCAGGAGCCCCTCCCTGCCATTGCTGGTCTCATCATGTCTGCATTTATTTAGATAGGCCTTTGCTCGTTGATGTTCCGGCCCTGATGATTCATTGATAGTTTTTTTACAAAACTAACAATGGAAAAGGGAGGTGGCGATGTGGGTAGGCTTGCTGAAGATGGTAAAGAGCACCCTGGCAATCCACAGGTTTGAAAAGCTTCACATGGGCCAAACCAGACAGCAGAGAGAGAGATACAGACAAATACAGAGAGACAGACAGAGAAAGAGAGAGACACATAGACAGAGAGACAGATACACAGAGAGAGACACACATAGACAGAGAGACAGATACACAAAGAGAGAGACACATAGACAGAGAGACAGATACACAGAGAGACACATAGACAGAGAGACAGATACACAAAGAGAGAGACAGAGAGACAGATACACAAAGAGAGAGACAGAGACAGATACACAAAGAGAGAGACACATAGACAGAGAGACAGATACACNACAGATACACAAAGAGAGAGACACATAGACAGAGAGACAGATACACAAAGAGAGAGACAGACACACAGAGAGACAGATACAGAGAGAGAGACAGACAGAAAGACAGACAGACATACAGACAGAGAGAGAGAGATACAGAGAAAGACAGGTACAGAGAGACAGAGAAAGGGAGAGTGAATAAAAAGGACTAGTGGTGGTCTTCTGAAGTTCTCTAGGTGTGCTCGGATACTGAGAACTTCCCCATGACATGGATCTCTTATGAATCAGCACAGAATCTAAGAGAATGTAATGTGCTCAGCAGTGATCTGACCAGATCCCATGATAATACAATGACTGGCCAAAATACAGAACTCTGAGGCTGATGAGCGTTCCAGGATTTGACTCTTCACACCTAAAGAACGGCATCTGTCTATGGTTTGCTTCTTCCAGGTGACAGATCTCTAGACTCCACCATGATCCTGCAAGATTCCCGAGGCACAGGGAGGGACGGAGAGTGGAGATCTGGGGCCCATTTAAGCCCAAAACGGAAGGCGGAAGGTCTCTATCCCAGCTATATCCATGATGACCTGAATGCTGGGCTATTAGGAATAACGAGCCTTACCTTCATGAAAGTTATAATCCATTTGGCACTGAAGCTGAAATAAAGCATTTTCTTTTTTTATGTATCCTTTGGAAAAAACAGAAGAAATATTTCCTCCTGAAGAATGTCAGAAGAACTTCACCTTGCCAGTTTGGGGGAGGGTCCCTCTGCTTCCGGAAAGCTGAGAGTACAAACACCATAACAGGAATGTGTGTGTGTGTGTGTGTGTGTGTGTGGTGTTAGTTTTAATAATAACTGGCCAGATGTGAGGGCACTTGAGCGTTAGGGTGTCGAGGGACTCCTGGGCCCGGGTACATGCCCCCCCCGGGTGAGTTCCAGTAAGGGGGAGCCGGCCCAAAGAAGTTTGAGGAGGTGACAGGCACTGGGGAGGGGTGTGGGGGGGCAAAGGCCATTTTCTGTTGAGGTGGGGGGTAGGGAGGGGCGTAGCCCAGCTCGGGGGGGTACTTGTAGGCGGGGGGCTCGGCAGGGTGCGGCTGCAGTGCCTGGGCGATGCCGTGGAAGTCGAAGCGGTAGGCATAGCGCTTGCCATGCACCTTGGTCATGATGCTCTTGTCATAGTAGTAGCGCAGCGCGCGGCTCAGCTTGTCGTAGTTCATGTTGGGCTTGCTCTTCCTCTCGCCCCATCGTCGCGCCACCTCGTCCGGGTCCGTCATCTTGAACTCGCCGCTGGTGCCCTCCCAGGTGATGCACGCCGCGTTGGCGCTGTCCGACAGCAGCTCCAGGAGGAACTGCCACAGCTGTATCTGGCCAGATCCTGGGGATCAAGTGTGGGGGGCGGAGTGCAAAGGCAGGGGGTGCAGGAGAAAGTTCCACCAATGAGTTTCAGCAAAAATGTTTTTATTTTCGTATTTTATTTGCTGTATTCTTCCAGGTAGCCATCAAACTGGCAGCTGGACAGCACCTACACCCAACCCTGGCTTATCAGCAGTGCCAGTAAACGGCATTTTCACAAATTAAATAAGAAAAAAAGGCCACTTTTAGGTTACACATTCCTGCAGACAGAGGGGGCTCTTATACTATAAACCTCGGTCTTTATCCAAACCATTTGCACAGATATGAATGTTATGCACGTAAAAAGGGCCAGTTTCACCATTATTTATTTGTAGCTGGAATGGCAGCTCTCTGAGTGGTATGACAGCACAGTCACAACTTGGACTGAGAATCGCATGGGCGCTACGTGGCCTGATGAGCCCCCCAGGGCAGGAACCTGTGAAAACATGCTGAATACAAGAGCTCACCTGGGTTAGCCAGTCGGCTGCTGGTTGGACCCAGGATCTGGTAAGGATCTGATTTAGGAGAAAGGAAAGTTTGTAAGGAGGCACCTAGATGATGTACGGTATGAGACAGACGGCACGGCAGCTCCGAGGCAGGCAGTGCCACCACACGCCCCCGAGGACGTGGGTTCAGATCCCACACCGGAGGCTGTGTGTGCTCTCCTGGTGATCCAGGTTCCCTCCCACACTCTGACATGCAGTCAGGATATCTAGGAGTTTCTAACTCGCCTGCTGTGTGTGTGTATCCTGTGATGGACTGCCATGCTCTCTCCATGGTGTACTCCTGCCTGGACAGGCTCTACACTGC